ACTGATTGGGTGGCGGTAGAAGCAAATGATGTGGAAGGGTGGATAAGCAAGAAGATATCATCATTACAAGGAATCTCTGTGTCCTCGGTGTTAAGCGTACAAAGCTTACTCCCATCAATAGGCTGTTTTATATCAGGACTTAATGCTGATGTGGATGGCACATTAACTTCACAATCAGCTCTGACATCTTGACCATGTAGAGAAGAATTTTCCATTTCTGATCCTAAAGGATTGAAATCATCAGGATCTGTAATGTTTGTGTTTGATTCTTTGATTACTTCAGATTCATGGTCATCTGAACCGCCTTCTGGAATATCACAAGGAGAATCTGGGAGGAACTTAAGATTCTCTTTACACAAGTTGTCCGCTGAATCCTTGCCATCTACCTCCAAAAGAACGTCATCCTCATTTGAAAGATTTAAGAGGGAATCTGGGAGATCCGCGAACTCACCATCTGAGGTAGCTGATGAATCAATAAAATCAGTGCTGCCAGTCCTGGCTCCCAACATAGTTCCTGAAATGACAACAACATACACACATGAACACTATCATTACTATTGCCATCATCAGGATATGCCCTTGTTAATGGCTTACTGCACATCTCCAAGACTCATACTGCTACATTTTCCACTGTGTTCCAAAGGAGGAGAATAGACTAAACAGATGGAAATTCCAGTGTATGAAATAAATAGTTCTCACCTGATTTTGGGGAGCGAGAATGCTGTCTACTTCCAAATCCACAAGGACCACTACAGATATTTTGATGGTTATCACTCCTTGAACGGAAGGTGGACAACTGTTTTCCTTCAAGACTACTGAAGATCTTTCTCTCAGGAGATAACTGTGATAAGCGAGGCCTCTTAACAGCCGAGCACTTTTCAAAGTCAATGGAATTATCTTTAAGAACATCCGTAATTTCTCTATCTTCCATATCAGGCTGAAAAGAATTCCTCTCCTCTCTTAATGAAGTAGAAAGCCCCTCCAGAAACCTGCTTTCTCTTAGAATTGCATCTGGACCATTATCGTCTACTGAGATTGAACACCTACTATTGTAGGCTATATGAGAATTAGTGATGGCAGGGGAGACAGGCATGTCTCCAAGTGCTTCTGGGAAAGCATGGCGCAAGATATCAAGATCTGATTCTTGAAGCCCAAGATCATCTGAGATACAATCCCCAAGCATGCAATTCCCATCACGAGCCTGAGCTTCAATTCTTACATCCTGCCTAAAATCAGTTCCATGTCCATTGCAATCATGTAGATTTGGCTCATCCAGAAAGCCTAGATCTGTGGAATTGAAAAATTCACTTCGAAATTTCTTCCGCATAGTATAGTATCGTCTACGAATGCTGTCTGCTTTCCTCTTTCCAGCAACATCTTTGCTTCCTTTAAGATTTTCAGATCTGTTAAACTTTGACAATGGATTGATCCCTGAATGCTCAAGCTCAACCATGCGAGCAGAAGCTGGAACTGCAACATCTGAATCATATAAAAGCGAATGCCAACGATCCTGCAGCTCTTGCAACGTGAATTTGCGAGAAAATCGTACTGCTCCTTTAGCAAGTGCTTCTAAGGATGCACCAGCCTGCAGCATACAAGGAAAACTGAGAAAGTTTCTTTAAAAATCAACAACAACAGTTATGACTCAATCCAAAGCAAGTTGGGTTGACTTATATGAATCCTCACTGACCATGTTACTTTATATAAACTCATCTCTGGCAAATATTATACAAAATAATAATAAGATAAGAAGTTTGTTATATTTTTTACTAATATATAAATCTTTGGAACACTAAACAATTTCTAGAAAGGCATAGGGTGTAAAATAAAGTGCTAACATGACTAGAACATATTCTCAACTAATAGGTATCGTTTATATAGATTTTTTCCTTCCATTGTGCCATATATTTCGCTAAATTTGCATGAATCCCAAGAGATTATAAGTCCTTCGAGACAACTTCCTGCCAAGTGATTTTAAATCTATCTCATCCCTTTTTAACACGTTCGAGCATCATGGTTTCATACCTAATGGACCAGTGCATCTTGAAGTCGAAGCAAGGCATGACCAAACCATCTCAAGTGACCTCTTATTTTATACTCAAATTGTGCTACTATTTTCTCGCGAATGTGGTCATTTCTAATATTGTCTAGGCTTGTATAATCACACATCCATCTTCGCATCCGCATCTCTGCGCGACATTTTGAGACGTGTGGAACTTCAACAGTTCACCATTCCTCCCATATAAAATTGTTGTTCTTATGACTGTTCTAAACCTACTTTTCATTGTGGTAGGCATCTGCTATGACATGACACCCATGTTGAACCATCATATTTTGATTCTATGTGTAACATATTCATCATCATTTCATTCTCTGAGAACGACTACCTAAACACTGAATTGTTTGTATTTGGGTACCGCAATCCTGTCTAATCTCACCTCGATTTCGCTCTTCCTATGTTGACTAAGTTAGCCGTGCATTTATTCAGTCTTATTGATAAGACTAAGCTATGAAGCAACTTAGAGTGCTAATTAAAAAAAATAGATGTTGAATATATTCAAGACAACAGTAAGACGATGAAAAGATAAGAGACAGACATTACTTCAAAGAAAATAACTGAAGTATTTCTATCAACTAGCCAACCAGCAGACAGCCATTTTTTATTTATTTTTTTGATATGTGAGCCAAGGTAAAGAAAGAAAGAAATTAATTGTGCCTAGATGGAAATTAAGAAGAATATAGAAAGAAGATCCGATTCACAGAGACAAACTAAAAAATTTCCAAAGCTAGTCTTCAGTGTACAAATTGAAAAACTGCTAGTTCATAGTAAAACAGTGAAGAGGCACAACGAGGCTCAAAGCCAATCATCAAATCGAAGAACTGGAGTACCTATAGCAATCAATGTTTAGCTATTAACAACAATGATGCGTGTCTTTCGGAACATTTTTCAAACAATAATGACGTACAAGTATCTACAATCACATGATCTATAAATATACAAAAGAACTAGATCATTTTATTCTACACACATCTCACACTCCCAGTCTGCTTGCAGCTGAAACATCCAATCATGTAATAAGCAACTGCTAGAGCAAAAAACACCTAAAATTCGCGGAATCTCTCGCATTGATTTGTTACAACCCAGTATTCTCCTCTTTAACCACAATTTCAGCAAAAAGATTTAAGAGCATGAGTTTTGTCAGTCTGTGTACCTCGCATTTCCGGCAAATTATCTACCTTAGACTATCTAAAAAAGTCTTAGCATCCCTATATCATCCTATCAACTTAATTTTCCAATGTTAAAATAGATTGAGGTGTTTTAAACATTGAAAATTTGAAGAAACATTTAACACAAAATCCTAAAAAACAGAACGATCAGTGATTCATGCGAAAAAAATAACATCGAGTTGAGAAAAACCTCAATGGCGTTCTTTAGAAGGAGGTCATCTTCAGGAATCCATGAAACAGGAAGTGGAGCAGAATTTGCCATCTCCGACTTGTAAACCCTAAAATTCAGGTTGATTCCATAGCCAGGAAGCTATATCATTCTCAATTCTGATTCGAGAAAGCGAGAAAACTGATTTCTAGAAGTGGATTGGGGAATATTAAACTCACGGTGATGGTTCGGAATCGCTAACTTGGGTGACAGAGTGACATTTTGCGGATTGGGAAATGTTTTTATAGCTTCTATTTTTTTTGCTGTGAAGCGTTGTCACGGCGTGGGTAACATGCTTCACGGAATACTGATTTTTCCTTTCGCCGTTACCGTAATACTTTAACGTCCCTTTTTTTTTTTGCATAGATTTTCAATTTTTGGAACTTGCATTGGTCAAAGATTTTTAAAAAAAAAATTCTTCAAATATTCAGTCAAAATAAATTTAATTAGATCTTAAAAATCTGATCTTTAATTATTTTCAAGTTTTTAAAAGTGGGCTTATACCTGTTTTGAAGTTTTGAGATTTTCTTTCGTAAGACTTTAAACTTTTTTCCAAAAATATACATGTCTAAAACAATTTCAAATACTCAAATTATTAAGTTTCAAATCTCTTCTTCATTTTAATTAATTTAGAGATTATAACAAAGATTAAAAAAAATATTTATATCCTTAAAATAAAATAATAATAATAAAATAGTAATCTGTAAAACGAACTTGGTATTACCGTTCCAATTATGAAATATTTCCATTGGCCTTAAGCCTCATTGAGAGAACATATAAGTATTGTAATATTCAGATTTAATTTAATTTTCAGCTGAATGAAAATAAATTCAGTACTGTTAAAAAAAATTCAAAACTCTGTTATATGTTTTTCAAAGTTTTAAATGAAAATCACAATTCATAAATGTTGTAAAACAACTTTCAAACACAACTATTTTCTAAAATTAATTTTTCCAAAACAAAGTTCTAAAGAACACAATTCCCTAATTATGTGTCGACTTTCTAACAAGGACAATGAAGGAATTTTCAACTAAATATCTTCTATAGAAAATCATGTTATAAGGAAATCAATATTTTTTTTATGCATATGTAATAGATGATAAATCTTTAACCACACAATTTCCTAATAGCATCCATAGTGCCAAACGGATCTAAAGCAAAAGCATATTCGGGGAATTATTTGACTATGCCAGTTCAAACGAAAGTTGTATTGTTGATACCTTTATCCCTGCAAGATCCTCTTTAATTTTTTTCCTTAGAAGAAAAAATGTGGATGCACATATTTATAACAATTCATGATAATATACAAAGCTTATAAGTGCATCGTTACAATTGGATACAGCTACCTAATACATACATTTTTGACGTGTAATCTATGTGTGGTAGATCTAAGATAACAAGTACAGGGAAAAAATTTGATGAATCAGATAATTCAGAATGACCTAAGTAGAACATATACAGATCTTAAGTTAAATTTAACAGCTTAGCTCCATTGATGACAAAATATTAAGATACATATTGCATAACATTCTAAAAAGAACCTAGTGGTATGGACAGCTAACAATCAAGTCGAAATGGAAAATTGATTAATTGAACATACATTCAAGGCATCACCCATATATATAGGAGTTGAAACACCTAGAATAATAAAGTGCTTAATACAATAAATAGGACAGGAACCAAATCCAGACTCAGAGCAAAACCTAATTAATTAGATAAAGTAGTAGTGTTTGCAGCTTGCAATATTTAACTTTTTTAGTAATAAGATATAATTTGGGAAGTTGATTCGAATAAGTAACTCAGCATTTAAGGTTTAACGTCATTGCTGCAAATTGATACATCTTCAGGAGAGACGTAGATCACGAGAACCAAATCCTTCTTCATTTTGAAGATTGGGGTGCAATGGTTGTAGGCGAAAAGCATAAAGGTTGTGTACTCCATTCGCAAATGCCACAGCAGAGTTGTAATGCCCCTCATTTTCCACTACACCGTACTTCGGATCTTCACATTTTGCTTCCTTTGATAAAGCAATTACGTACTTTTTGTGTTAGTAAACAATTCCCCCATTAATCAACCAAAAACAAATAAATCAGCATATGAACTGAATTTATAAAGAAATATTTACCAAGTCAAGTACGAGGTTTCCATGTTGCTCTTCTAAGTTCCTCACCTATTTTTGTCATATAGAAGAACCCATTGCACTTTGTAATATGTCCCAGGCAAAATGAAAAGAAAGGAATTCATCTAAAATATTAAAAAGTAGAATTAACAATGAAAAACTTACCTTCTTCCTGCAGGTGTCTGTTTGATTCTTGATCACGTGGTACTGTAGGAAATCATAGAGGCTCTTATAGTTAAGTACGTAAATAATACATGTGGAAAACTAATTCTAATTTTATTTGATGACGATGTAAAACACAAAAAAAGAACACTAAAATGTAGTTTGATCGACCTATCATATGATCAATTACATGAATGAGTCACCAAAATATTACTACTGTACTATTCTTTTCGTTTCAATGGTCTTCTCTACCAAGTACTGATTCAAAATGGGGGAGCAAAATCTTGTAGCAAGACAAGCAATTATAGCAATGAAAGGCCATCCAGGTACAGAAGAAAGCACATTAGCTCACTCCATAGCTACCACTTACATAGACGGAGACCATTTTCGAGATTGCACTAAGCCTCTTCAACAGGCCCTAATGGTATCATCCCCTGACTAACACAGCCATCAACCTTCTAAATGAACTTTCTTATGATGCAATGTGACATACTGCTTCAACACAACTAGAATTGGGCCTCAACGTAGTTGTAGTGTCGCCAACCGTTTTAAAAGGCTTGTTAAGCTTAGTGAATGTTTTGGTGCACGAGTTGCTATTGTTGAGTGAAAGCCCAATGATTTGGGCATCTGGAGATTGAGGGTTGAGCAGAGGGCTATGTTTGAAAAATCAAGTGTGTCACGCATTGTGTGTGGCACAAACTAGCTACATGGCTTATGGAAAAGGTATTTGAAGTGTGTTGTGATTATGATGTTGGAGAGGTTCCAAAAATTGTTGTGGACACTAATGCTGCTGCTGATCAAGGGGTTGAAGCATTGGTTCCTTCTATTTTAAAGTTTCTACAGTTAGGGTTTAGTTTAATGATGACAAGCTTAATGTAAGTGCTTTCAATGTATGCAGGATTACGCAGCTTAACACATAGAAGCATATGAAGGGAAGTCAAGTAAAATAGCTATATGCTAATATACCTGTATGGGAAGAACTCAATCAACATCTGTTAAAGAAGGAATCATCTCGAGTGAGCAAAATTAAATAAGAAGATTCTGCACTTATTAAAACTCAAGATCTCAAGGCAGTAATCAAATGACCTCTATGAAAACAAGTACCAAAACACATATTTCTCGCCAAAACTCTAGAAGCTAATCAAGTCCAGTTGAAGACTATGAAGACTTACTCAACGGCTGCATGTGAACGCTCTACACTTATTCTTGGAAAGAAAGAGTTGGAAAAATATTGGAAGTACATATGTGGAATAGAAAAGAATTTTCTTCAGGAATTGCAAATGCAACTTAATAGCAAGCGCAAATCCTTCGGTCATAGCTCTATCAGATCTAACCAATCGAATCATGATGTGAAGTCAACCAGTAAAAATCTTGGCAGTGACAAACCTGCCTCTAGTAGGTCTACATATCACTCTGTCACTAATAATACGAAGACAGATTACTCGACTAGCTCAGGTTAGTCAACTGAAATGAATTCTAAGAGTGACAAACCTAATTTAGGCAAGTCGACTCATCAATTAGTCACTGAGTAGCAATTCTTTCAAACGTATCATTTTTGTGATAGAGTGGTCATGAATTTTATAAATGCATATTTAGACACCCAGACACTCATGGTTTGACCTTAACGTATTACAAATAACCTTGAGTCTAACCTTGAATGCTCAAAGCTGCACCTGTCACAAAATGTTTGGCATTTTTGGCAAGTATAACAAGACCAGCTTGAAGAACTATTAAAATGGCAATGTTGTATTCACTAATGTTTAAATTAAATTGGTCCAAGCTGAAAAGATTCGTTGCCTATACTTCAAACAAAAGTTGGAACACTTTTCTGTTCTCGAGACTCAAAATAAAGTGAACTTTGCCTAACATCTAATATACACTATTTCACAATTTTGATAAAAGAAGATATCCTGAGTACTTAATTTTTTGATAAAAGTTAAAGTTATCCTCAGTACTTAATTTAGGTCCATTTAGCTTCAGAAATGGATAAAATTTATTCTAGATTAACATAACCCCAAAAATGTAAAGAGTAAGGTACGAATAATAACCTTTCTTTCACGAATCTCAGCTACAGATTCAGTGATGTTCTCCTGCAAGTGGCATAGTTCCTGCAAATTGAGTCCGCTCATGTCTTCCCCTGTTCTCTGCCTATCAACAGACACCAACATCAGACATTTCATTATCATTGCTTGATTACACATACCAAAAACAAAAATAAAAATGATCACATGATAGAACTCATTAACCATCCTTCAATTGCTCAAATTAGAAAGTTAAAAGCTATATTATTAATCCAACGACATATTCAATGTAATCCCACCAGTAGGGTTTAGGGGAAGGGTAGAGTGCACACATATCTTAGCCCTACCTCATAAGGATAAAGCATTTTCAAATAGTTTTGAAAAAGGGAATACAAATATGGGTGAAGTAACAGCAATGATATGCAGAGTAGTACACAATATGTACAAGAAAGAACAGTAACGAAAACGAAATAATGATCCTAATATTACCTTATCTCTCTTCTTAGCTTGTTATTGATCTCTTGCAATCTCTTCAAGTTTTCTTGCATTTTCTGCACACATACATTCAAATTACAAATTGATTTCAATTTCTAGGGTAAGAGTATACTAAATCAAAGTTAAACCACAAAATTTAAGAAATTATACCTCGTAGTGAGTGCTCCAAATATCAACTCCAAGTGCACTCTGATACTGATCAATCATCTTTTTTGTCCTGATAGAAAAAAAATAAATTTAACCTCTTTTTTTTTTCAATAAAGCAATTTTTTTGTGTGTGTGTTGAGAACATAACATACGTAGTGTTTGGGCTTGTGAACTCATGATATTTCCTGGTGCTTGATAGCATGATGAGAGAGATCTTAGCGTCACAAAGAACAGTAAGTTCTTTAGCTTTCTTGAAAATACCATTTCTTCTCTTGGAGTAAGTGACCTGCCTGTTTGTCGAGTTTTCGATCTTCTTGATCTCAATTTTTCCACGACCCATTCTGGAGGAAGTAGAAATTGTTGTAATGGAGATGATGAAACGAGGGTCATGTTCATTGTTGATGAATGATGAAGTTAAAGAGAGGAAAAAGTGAAGAGAGATGGGTGGGTTAGTAGAGAAACTATATCGGGAAAAGAAAGATTGAAGTGTAGTAACTGCACTACTATAAGGTTTTGCCTATTTTGTGAAAGTCTCTCTGGCTTTCATTATCATTACTGTTTAACGTGTGATGTCGGCTCTTTGACCAGGACAACTCCTTATTCACCATTACCTAAGGGTTTTTTTTTTGAGTAACTTTCAAAAATAACTATATTTATAGGGTTAATAAATATCAATAGCTATAAGTATGTTATTTACAATAAATTACTACAATTTATAACATTTTTTTGCTGTATTTTTGTATAGTTTTTTATTTTATTTATTTATACATTAATACATCTTTAAGTACAACAAATTAAATAAAGAATTAACTCTAAATATAACCCACTATCCTTACATTACATCCATACAATGAGCAACTTCCCATAATTAACTTTATAACTGAAAATTACTCATTTAAAGACATATCATATTATATTCTTTATCAGTTTAACAAAAGTTGTGATACATCATACTCAATTTTCTTGTTGTCTCCATAATTCTTATTTTGGCATCGTAAAGGTATTAATTTTATTTTTTTGTTGATTCAAGTTATTGTATGTAAGCAAATTGTAATTTGTGAATGAAGGTTAAGTATTTCGATTTTGAATAGGTGAACTACATGGCAATAGATACACTAGTTGTTAAACAAAAAATGAATGCACCAATATAGAATACAATGAATACGTTGTTGTTAAACACAAAAATGAATACGTTGGATACAACTATACTTGTATTCCCTAATCAACTTTTTATCTTGGATATAATACTTATCTATCTAGATATAATTGTATTCGCAAATCAACATTTCAACTTGTGCTTGTATAACAATACAAGTATCTATGTATATAAATATAGATACATTCAACATTGTTGGTAAGCAAAAATATGGATACATTAGACAAACGAGCAAAAAAGATACAATTTGTGGGTATCAAACTGTATAAATATGGATACATTAGACACACGAGCAAAAAAAGATACAATTTGTGGGTATTAAACTGTATAAGTATTCTTGTAAATAAATTTTTGAAAAGGCCAACAATATTGTATTGATGTATCCAACTATACTTGAATTCCCTAATCAACTTTAAATTTGACTGAGTACTTATGTATTCAAATATAATTGTATTCACAGATCAACAATTCAACTTGTGGTTATATAATGATACAAATGTCTATGTATATAAGTATTCTACTATATACAAAATTGACAATCAAAGAACCCTCAATCTCTTTTTTGTTCATGTTCTTCTCGTACTCATTTTTTAACAACTATACACATGCATACGAAATCAAATTTTCTAACAATTTTAATACAAGAGGACAATCCATAATATAATGACAATGGCACACAATACATGTGTTGAGATATATAAGTAAATGACATTAAACTAAAAAAAAAATAAAGCATACAAATCTCAATTTCATTTTCCTCTTGTTCCTGCTCGACTGCTCTATTTTCACACCCACTTGAATCAATATTATTGACTTTTCTCCTTTTTTTCAAGATTAGTTTTCACTTTTGAACCTTTTTTCTTCTTTATTAATTTTGCATGTTCGATTTTTTCAAGCAGATTTAAGGGTATATGGTCATTAACCTTTTTTGTTCTTCTTTCGTTCTCCATTGCAGCAGTAGAGCCTGAAATTTTGACTTCTTGTTGAATAATACACAAATCAAAAGAAGGTAGTTCATCCAACAATTTGTCAAATAAATGTATATCTCTCGTATCTCCTCAGAGTATTAATTTCAGCCATTGAAATGGATAAACAAATTCTTGAATCAAAACCCTATGAAAATAGAAGAAAGTGTAGATGTGTAGATATATAATATTCATAAAAACGAGATAAATATGCAATTAGAAGATATCTGATGAATACAAAATCACAAAAATTACTCTTGCAGTGATGTAAAGGATCTTGAATTTGAATGAATTTGGGGGGAAAAAATCAGAAAGTATGTGATGTATGAATATTGATGAAAGAGAAAAATTTGATGATGATAAACGTGGGAAAAGATCACAAATGTGCCTGCCATAATTAATTAGGCATTCAATAATTACTTTCCTATTTAATATTTATTTATTATATTATATTATATATATATATATATATAATTATTTATTTGTATATAATTAAGTTTGCTATTTATAATCTAATTATATCCATATAACATGAAAAAAATTAAAATGTAGCTATTTTTCTTGAATATATATGGATGTTTGTCATAATCTGAAGTTTTTCCTTTTTTTTTTTTACGGTTGTAAATTCTGTTTTCTATTCATCATCTCCCTATCCACGTATCTTTTTTTCAGATTGGAGCATCCACATTCATGTACTGGGGATATTTCCGCCCCACCCGTTCAATCAGTCCGTCCGAGATGGAGGGCATTTTCATTTCCTCCGGACTCAAGGATAGTTGGTATAAGTAAAATAATGCATGCATTAATTCTATGTATTAGTACTATTTTGTTTGGTACATTTTTTCATGTTATTTATAAGGGATAAGGGTCTAAAAAATATCTTAATTTTGGTCGGATTTGTTGTTGCGATACTAAACTTTCATGAGAATCTATTACCTCCCTAGACTATTTAATACCGTATTTTAAACATATATATTTGTCCACGTGGACATAAAAAATAATGCAAAATTATAAATAGTAATGTGTCCATGTGGGCACATATATACCTTTAAAATACACAATTAAATAGTTCAGGGGGTAAAAAATACGGTATTAAATAGTCTAGGGAGGTAATAGGTCCTTATGAAAGTTTAGTATCGCAACAACAAATCCGACCAAAATTGGGATATTTTTCAGACCCTTATCCCTATTTATAACTAATATTTGCATTATTTATATATTTTATTGTGTGTTAAGGATAGAGCTATCAATATGGGTTGGCCCACCCTATCTGGGCCAACCCATACAGACTTTGCAATTTGACGGACCAGGTCGGGCTAACCCATTTTTTATGTGGGTCAGAAAATGGTCGGCCCAGCTCACAAGTGTGTGGGCTACGGGCTTTGCCGAGTCAACCCTCTTTTCTTAAAAGTATATTTTTTATAATTTTTTAAATTAAATTATAATTTAAAAATATTATCATAAATATCGACTACTGTTACTACTTGTTAATCAAATACACAAATAAAAATCCTTATATAATATTTATGAAGTTTGATTTCAAGTAAAAACATAAATAGCTAAATAGAAATATTAACCTAATTGTTTTCCAATGATCATAATAAAACACAAAAATTATGATAATATTCCACAGGCTATGGCCTATGTAGTAATTCCCTAGAAATTTTAGGAACTTTATTTTATGTAGTACATATTTTATAAACATAATTTGTATTTAAATTATAATATTTCAAACTTTAAATAGATTTTGAGTATAGACTCCAGTTATTTTTAATACTCTATTTTATTTTTATTTTTTAATAAATTTTTATTTGGCCCACGGGCCGGCCCTATCCATATTTCTCAAGCCCCACAAATCGACAAGTTTATTCAGGCCCGACTAAAAAGCTTTTTTCTAAAATGGGCTCCAAAAATCGTAGTCCAGCCCTATCAAATCACGGGTTAGGCCAGGCCGGCCCAACAGGCCTAGCCCATATTGACGGCTCTAGTTAAGGAGTGTATTACTAATACCATGGATTTCTAGGTATTAGTGATGCAAGAATTTTTAATAGGAAAAATTACGCGTATAAGCAAACTTATACTAGTTAATTAGTTAACATAACTATAGTTTGCCTTAATTACAATTCGCGACCTACTTTTAGCTACAATTACATGGTGCAGCTTTTTAGTTTTGTATAACTTGAAATTTGTATAACTTTTGTATAATTCAGAATTTGTATAATATAATTTGTATAACTTTTGTATAATTCAAAAAATTTATAATATATTTGTATAACTGTTTACACTTCTGATGTTTGTAATTGTATAAATTCGTTATTTCGAGTTTATACAAAAATAACTGAATTATACAAATGTACCCGTAAATTATACAAACCTGTGAATTTTACAAACGAGGCAGCATAAACTGTATCTACAGCCCGTAAATATGCAAACTATAGCTATGTAGCATAATTAAGTTTATTATAGTGGCTATTTGCGAAAGTTCCCTCTTTTTAATATATGTATTAGCATAGTTAAAGACTCAATTGTCCCTCAAACGCTTTTTTACATCTTTTTCACCATAATTGTGAAGGGTATTTTTGTAAATAAATATTTTTTTGCTATACGTGTTATTTTTAATACATCAAAATCAAACAATGCATAATAATTAATCTATATATATCAATGCAAGCATTACCAATACATTCTATCTAACATTATTCTTATACACTCTATCAAACGACCCAGGGCAACCACATTCGAAGGACCTGACTATCATGTAAAATTAGATTTTGAATTGAATTAAAAATTAACTTAAAGAGGGGGAGATTGTCTTAAAAGAGTAACTTATCGATGTGGATTCTTCTCATATACACATATAACTTTACCTTTGTACCTTAGGCCCCTAAAGTTTTAGTTCTTGATGCTTTATAAGTGCTAGGGAACCAATACATGAATAAGAGATTTTGAATGCTGCTGTATTAGTTAGGCATACAAATTAGGCAAAAGAAGCAAAACAATGTTACTTTTTAATTCTATAAAATAACACAAAATTATTAGTGAAGTGATTAATCGGCACCCTTGACCCTTGCCGCTAATAGTGCCATATTCATAAATCATAAGTAGTTGCACTCAAGGTTCAAGGGTGTAACTTAATACTGTAGTTAATAAAGTAAATTGAGCATATCATATGTTTTAGGTTCAAAATTCAGTAAAATAAAAAATAAGCCAAAAATAGTGTAAATAATTTAATAAACAAGATTGTCAGATCGATACTTATATTAATGAAAATTAACCAATACCCAATAGACTTATTAATTGAAATACATGAAAATTAACCTGAACACTTAATTTATGTATGTATATGATAAAACCTCAAACTCTTCAATTACATGAACTTCGTGGCATTATTTT